TTTTTCTCACATGCTATGCTGGTTGGTGCACAGTGCCGCGTCAGCGGCTTCTCCATCACCCAGTCATTGCCTCCCAAGGACTTCAGCTCAAAGTCACGCGCAGCTTTCTCAAACAGAACAGGCCACGCCGAGTCTGGAATGGCTGCTCTGCGCCACCGTAGGGCTAGTTGGAGGGCCCACGGAATAAGTGCCACACCTTGGAGAGTCTTCGACTTCACCTTTGCCGGGAGGCGTGGGAGGAACTGAACCGCCCACGCCTCCTGCACGTAGATTTCCATGATTTTGGTGGAGATCCACCTGCCTCTTCGTCTTGTCAGCTTGCTGTCCTCGCTGGCCATCAAGAGCCAGGAGGCTCCACCGGCTCTTAGAGAGCCCATATCGATGCCCTTGGAGATTCTCATCGTCTGGCCGGACGCCGGCCATAGCTTCTGGCTCTGCCGAATGCGCAAAGGCAACTTCGATCACCTGGAGGAGCTGCGGGTGGCCCAGCTTGGCGATCTGATGCCTTGCACATCTGTATCTTGTCTTGGGCTCAGCTATTTGGAGGAGGGCGTAGTTGGGCTTGTGTGCCTAACCAAAAACTGGAACGCAACAGACCAGTCCTGGAGTAGATTGTGTCCTTGAGGTCATCGACGCTGTAGGGGGGCTTCTTCAACGCGGCTGATAGGAAGTGGGCGGGTCCCCGTTCGGCTCGGACCGGGTTGAAGCTTGCTTTGGACGGCCCCTGAGGAATCTGACTGGAGCGACATCGGTTCATGGCGTTGATTGGAGATCTGGGCTTTGACCAATGACAGTTTCCAACTGCCCAGCAGGACTGTCCAGGGATCCAAATGCGGCGGAGGCACAGGCAGATACTAGCAAATACATATCAGCTACATCATATGCGTCACTGCATCAGGTCTGAATCCTCTGGCAATGACAGCAAATACAAATCCGAAGATTGCACTGAAGGCGAAACAAGCATTCAAAGTAAACATGGCGCGCAATGCGTTCGTAATTGCGAAAGAACAGGTCACATTGCACACAAAAGTGTGATGGCTATATACAGCTCCCTTCCAAATGTTCAAACAAGGCAAGGTGCACTTGTTTCAGAGTCACAAACAAAGAAGGATGTTCTCACCATATGTGTGGTTGTGAAGGTCTACAAAAAGGAGACAGTCTGGAGTTGGGAACAGCAAAAATTCACTAAAGCATCCGACTCTTACCCCTTGCTTCAGGTTGCTTTTCCTTCCAAACCCATCCATCCCTTGATGTTCCATGAGTGGCTGACACATGAGATCTATAGGTCACCTCCCACCACTGGCTGCCCTTCGCACGCTGTCACTAAAAGCGAAAGCCAAGCAGCTGCATGACATTGGGGAACATGCCCGCCTGCATTGTCCAGGCACAGGAGTAGCTTGCAAGAAGCTAGAACCTGGAGCCCTTGAAGAAGAATGAGGGTATGCTATGCCTTCATCCTTCAAACGGAAGATATTTGCTTGTGGCCATTATGCCTTCAAACTCTGATGGTGTGTTCACGCTGACATGCCCTCAAGAACCATCCCACACCTGCACCGCCGCCCCCCCCC